AATTTAATTTTTTAAGAGCAAAGGTATAAGAAAAGAGTAGTTGTTGGAAGCAATCACAAAGTATCCTTTCATCTCACTCGTGTTTCTTGGTTCAGGAGTCAGGATGGCCGAGCGGTCTAAGGCGCCAGATTTAAGCTCTGGTTCTCGAAAGAGAGCGTGGGTTCGAACCCCACTCCTGACAATTGTTCTTACGTTGCAAGCATGTTATTCTATTTTTGATTCTTAAATTGCGATTTACTAACAGAACGATTCTCTTAGAATTTCATTCGTTAATTTAATTTTTTAAGAGCAAAGGTATAAGAAAAGAGTAGTTGTTGGAAGCAATCACAAAGTATCCTTTCATCTCACTCGTGTTTCTTGGTTCAGGAGTCAGGATGGCCGAGCGGTCTAAGGCGCCAGATTTAAGCTCTGGTTCTCGAAAGAGAGCGTGGGTTCGAACCCCACTCCTGACAATTGTTCTTACGTTGCAAGCATGTTATTCTATTTTTGATTCTTAAATTGCGATTTACTAACAGAACGATTCTCTTAGAATTTCATTCGTTAATTTAATTTTTTAAGAGCAAAGGTATAAGAAAAGAGTAGTTGTTGGAAGCAATCACAAAGTATCCTTTCATCTCACTCGTGTTTCTTGGTTCAGGAGTCAGGATGGCCGAGCGGTCTAAGGCGCCAGATTTAAGCTCTGGTTCTCGAAAGAGAGCGTGGGTTCGAACCCCACTCCTGACAATTGTTCTTACGTTGCAAGCATGTTATTCTATTTTTGATTCTTAAATTGCGATTTACTAACAGAACGATTCTCTTAGAATTTCATTCGTTAATTTAATTTTTTAAGAGCAAAGGTATAAGAAAGAGTAGTTGTTGGAAGCAATCACAAAGTATCCTTTCATCTCACTCGTGTTTCTTGGTTCAGGAGTCAGGATGGCCGAGCGGTCTAAGGCGCCAGATTTAAGCTCTGGTTCTCGAAAGAGAGCGTGGGTTCGAACCCCACTCCTGACAATTGTTCTTACGTTGCAAGCATGTTATTCTATTTTTGATTCTTAAATTGCGATTTACTAACAGAACGATTCTCTTAGAATTTCATTCGTTAATTTAATTTTTTTTTAGAGCAAAGGTTTAAGAAAAGTGTAGTTGTTGGAAGCAATCACAAAGTATCCTTTCATCTCACTCGTGTTTCTTGGTTCAGGAGTCAGGATGGCCGAGCGGTCTAAGGCGCCAGATTTAAGCTCTGGTTCTCGAAAGAGAGCGTGGGTTCGAACCCCACTCCTGACAATTGTTCTTACGTTGCAAGCATGTTATTCTATTTTTGATTCTTAAATTGCGATTTACTAACAGAACGATTCTCTTAGAATTTCATTCGTTAATTTAATTTTTTTTTTTAAGAGCAAAGGTATAAGAAAAGAGTAGTTGTTGGAAGCAATCACAAAGTATCCTTTCATCTCACTCGTGTTTCTTGGTTCAGGAGTCAGGATGGCCGAGCGGTCTAAGGCGCCAGATTTAAGCTCTGGTTCTCGAAAGAGAGCGTGGGTTCGAACCCCACTCCTGACAATTGTTCTTACGTTGCAAGCATGTTATTCTATTTTTGATTCTTAAATTGCGATTTACTAACAGAACGATTCTCTTAGAATTTCATTCGTTAATTTAATTTTTTTAAGAGCAAAGGTATAAGAAAAGAGTAGTTGTTGGAAGCAATCACAAAGTATCCTTTCATCTCACTCGTGTTTCTTGGTTCAGGAGTCAGGATGGCCGAGCGGTCTAAGGCGCCAGATTTAAGCTCTGGTTCTCGAAAGAGAGCGTGGGTTCGAACCCCACTCCTGACAATTGTTCTTACGTTGCAAGCATGTTATTCTATTTTTGATTCTTAAATTGCGATTTACTAACAGAACGATTCTCTTAGAATTTCATTCGTTAATTTAATTTTTTTTTTAAGAGAGCAAAGGTATAAGAAAAGAGTAGTTGTTGGAAGCAATCACAAAGTATCCTTTCATCTCACTCGTGTTTCTTGGTTCAGGAGTCAGGATGGCCGAGCGGTCTAAGGCGCCAGATTTAAGCTCTGGTTCTCGAAAGAGAGCGTGGGTTCGAACCCCACTCCTGACAATTGTTCTTACGTTGCAAGCATGTTATTCTATTTTTGATTCTTAAATTGCGATTTACTAACAGAACGATTCTCTTAGAATTTCATTCGTTAATTTAATTTTTTAAGAGCAAAGGTATAAGAAAAGAGTAGTTGTTGGAAGCAATCACAAAGTATCCTTTCATCTCACTCGTGTTTCTTGGTTCAGGAGTCAGGATGGCCGAGCGGTCTAAGGCGCCAGATTTAAGCTCTGGTTCTCGAAAGAGAGCGTGGGTTCGAACCCCACTCCTGACAATTGTTCTTACGTTGCAAGCATGTTATTCTATTTTTGATTCTTAAATTGCGATTTACTAACAGAACGATTCTCTTAGAATTTCATTCGTTAATTTAATTTTTTTAAGAGCAAAGGTATAAGAAAAGAGTAGTTGTTGGAAGCAATCACAAAGTATCCTTTCATCTCACTCGTGTTTCTTGGTTCAGGAGTCAGGATGGCCGAGCGGTCTAAGGCGCCAGATTTAAGCTCTGGTTCTCGAAAGAGAGCGTGGGTTCGAACCCCACTCCTGACAATTGTTCTTACGTTGCAAGCATGTTATTCTATTTTTGATTCTTAAATTGCGATTTACTAACAGAACGATTCTCTTAGAATTTCATTCGTTAATTTAATTTTTTAAGAGCAAAGGTATAAGAAAAGAGTAGTTGTTGGAAGCAATCACAAAGTATCCTTTCATCTCACTCGTGTTTCTTGGTTCAGGAGTCAGGATGGCCGAGCGGTCTAAGGCGCCAGATTTAAGCTCTGGTTCTCGAAAGAGAGCGTGGGTTCGAACCCCACTCCTGACAATTGTTCTTACGTTGCAAGCATGTTATTCTATTTTTGATTCTTAAATTGCGATTTACTAACAGAACGATTCTCTTAGAATTTCATTCGTTAATTTAATTTTTTTAAGAGCAAAGGTATAAGAAAAGAGTAGTTGTTGGAAGCAATCACAAAGTATCCTTTCATCTCACTCGTGTTTTTGGTTCAGGAGTCAGGATGGCCGAGCGGTCTAAGGCGCCAGATTTAAGCTCTGGTTCTCGAAAGAGAGCGTGGGTTCGAACCCCACTCCTGACAATTGTTCTTACGTTGCAAGCATGTTATTCTATTTTTGATTCTTAAATTGCGATTTACTAACAGAACGATTCTCTTAGAATTTCATTCGTTAATTTAATTTTTTTTTTAAGAGCAAAGGTATAAGAAAAGAGTAGTTGTTGGAAGCAATCACAAAGTATCCTTTCATCTCACTCTCGTGTTTCTTGGTTCAGGAGTCAGGATGGCCGAGCGGTCTAAGGCGCCAGATTTAAGCTCTGGTTCTCGAAAGAGAGCGTGGGTTCGAACCCCACTCCTGACAATTGTTCTTACGTTGCAAGCATGTTATTCTATTTTTGATTCTTAAATTGCGATTTACTAACAGAACGATTCTCTTAGAATTTCATTCGTTAATTTAATTTTTTAAGAGCAAAGGTATAAGAAAAGAGTAGTTGTTGGAAGCAATCACAAAGTATCCTTTCATCTCACTCGTGTTTCTTGGTTCAGGAGTCAGGATGGCCGAGCGGTCTAAGGCGCCAGATTTAAGCTCTGGTTCTCGAAAGAGAGCGTGGGTTCGAACCCCACTCCTGACAATTGTTCTTACGTTGCAAGCATGTTATTCTATTTTTGATTCTTAAATTGCGATTTACTAACAGAACGATTCTCTTAGAATTTCATTCGTTAATTTAATTTTTTAAGAGCAAAGGTATAAGAAAGAGTAGTTGTTGGAAGCAATCACAAAGTATCCTTTCATCTCACTCGTGTTTCTTGGTTCAGGAGTCAGGATGGCCGAGCGGTCTAAGGCGCCAGATTTAAGCTCTGGTTCTCGAAAGAGAGCGTGGGTTCGAACCCCACTCCTGACAATTGTTCTTACGTTGCAAGCATGTTATTCTATTTTTGATTCTTAAATTGCGATTTACTAACAGAACGATTCTCTTAGAATTTCATTCGTTAATTTAATTTTTTAAGAGCAAAGGTATAAGAAAAGAGTAGTTGTTGGAAGCAATCACAAAGTATCCTTTCATCTCACTCGTGTTTCTTGGTTCAGGAGTCAGGATGGCCGAGCGGTCTAAGGCGCCAGATTTAAGCTCTGGTTCTCGAAAGAGAGCGTGGGTTCGAACCCCACTCCTGACAATTGTTCTTACGTTGCAAGCATGTTATTCTATTTTTGATTCTTAAATTGCGATTTACTAACAGAACGATTCTCTTAGAATTTCATTCGTTAATTTAATTTTTTAAGAGCAAAGGTATAAGAAAAGAGTAGTTGTTGGAAGCAATCACAAAGTATCCTTTCATCTCACTCGTGTTTCTTGGTTCAGGAGTCAGGATGGCCGAGCGGTCTAAGGCGCCAGATTTAAGCTCTGGTTCTCGAAAGAGAGCGTGGGTTCGAACCCCACTCCTGACAATTGTTCTTACGTTGCAAGCATGTTATTCTATTTTTGATTCTTAAATTGCGATTTACTAACAGAACGATTCTCTTAGAATTTCATTCGTTAATTTAATTTTTTTAAGAGCAAAGGTATAAGAAAAGAGTAGTTGTTGGAAGCAATCACAAAGTATCCTTTCATCTCACTCGTGTTTCTTGGTTCAGGAGTCAGGATGGCCGAGCGGTCTAAGGCGCCAGATTTAAGCTCTGGTTCTCGAAAGAGAGCGTGGGTTCGAACCCCACTCCTGACAATTGTTCTTACGTTGCAAGCATGTTATTCTATTTTTGATTCTTAAATTGCGATTTACTAACAGAACGATTCTCTTAGAATTTCATTCGTTAATTTAATTTTTTAAGAGCAAAGGTATAAGAAAAGAGTAGTTGTTGGAAGCAATCACAAAGTATCCTTTCATCTCACTCGTGTTTCTTTTTTTGGTTCAGGAGTCAGGATGGCCGAGCGGTCTAAGGCGCCAGATTTAAGCTCTGGTTCTCGAAAGAGAGGTTGGGTTCGAACCCCCCACTCCTGACAATTGTTCTTACGTTGCAAGCATGTTATTCTATTTTTGATTCTTAAATTGCGATTTACTAACAGAACGATTCTCTTAGAATTTCATTCGTTAATTTAATTTTTTAAGAGCAAAGGTATAAGAAAAGAGTAGTTGTTGGAAGCAATCACAAAGTATCCTTTCATCTCACTCGTGTTTCTTGGTTCAGGAGTCAGGATGGCCGAGCGGTCTAAGGCGCCAGATTTAAGCTCTGGTTCTCGAAAGAGAGCGTGGGTTCGAACCCCACTCCTGACAATTGTTCTTACGTTGCAAGCATGTTATTCTATTTTTGATTCTTAAATTGCGATTTACTAACAGAACGATTCTCTTAGAATTTCATTCGTTAATTTAATTTTTTAAGAGCAAAGGTATAAGAAAAGAGTAGTTGTTGGAAGCAATCACAAAGTATCCTTTCATCTCACTCGTGTTTCTTGGTTCAGGAGTCAGGATGGCCGAGCGGTCTAAGGCGCCAGATTTAAGCTCTGGTTCTCGAAAGAGAGCGTGGGTTCGAACCCCACTCCTGACAATTGTTCTTACGTTGCAAGCATGTTATTCTATTTTTGATTCTTAAATTGCGATTTACTAACAGAACGATTCTCTTAGAATTTCATTCGTTAATTTAATTTTTTTAAGAGCAAAGGTATAAGAAAAGAGTAGTTGTTGGAAGCAATCACAAAGTATCCTTTGTCTCACTCGTGTTTTTTGGTTCAGGAGTCAGGATGGCCGAGCGGTCTAAGGCGCCAGATTTAAGCTCTGGTTCTCGAAAGAGAGCGTGGGTTCGAACCCCACTCCTGACAATTGTTCTTACGTTGCAAGCATGTTATTGTATTTTTGATTCTTAAATTGCGATTCACTAACAGAATTATTCTCTTCAAATTTCATTCATTATTTTAATTTTTTTTAAAAGCAAAGGCATAAGAAAAGAGTATTTGATGGAAGCAATCATAAAGTATCCTTTTATCTCACTCGTGTTTCTTGGTTCAGGAGTCAGGATGGCCGAGCGGTATAAGGCGCCAGATTTAAGCTCTGGTTCTCGAAAGAGAGCGTGGGTTCGAACCCCACTCCTGACAATTGTTCTTACGTTGCAAGCATGTTATTCTATTTTTGATTCTTAAATTGCGATTTACTAACAGAACGATTCTCTTAGAATTTCATTCGTTAATTTAATTTTTTTAAGAGCAAAAGGTATAAGAAAAGAAAAGAGTAGTTGTTGGAAGCAATCACAAAGTATCCTTTCATCTCACTCGTGTTTCTTGGTTCAGGAGTCAGGATGGCCGAGCGGTCTAAGGCGCCAGATTTAAGCTCTGGTTCTCGAAAGAGAGCGTGGGTTCGAACCCCACTCCTGACAATTGTTCTTACGTTGCAAGCATGTTATTCTATTTTTGATTCTTAAATTGCGATTTACTAACAGAACGATTCTCTTAGAATTTCATTCGTTAATTTAATTTTTTTAAGAGCAAAGGTATAAGAAAAGAGTAGTTGTTGGAAGCAATCACAAAGTATCCTTTCATCTCACTCGTGTTTCTTGGTTCAGGAGTCAGGATGGCCGAGCGGTCTAAGGCGCCAGATTTAAGCTCTGGTTCTCGAAAGAGAGCGTGGGTTCGAACCCCACTCCTGACAATTGTTCTTACGTTGCAAGCATGTTATTCTATTTTTGATTCTTAAATTGCGATTTACTAACTAACAGAACGATTCTCTTAGAATTTCATTCGTTAATTTAATTTTTTAAGAGCAAAGGTATAAGAAAAGAGTAGTTGTTGGAAGCAATCACAAAGTATCCTTTCATCTCACTCGTGTTTTTTTGGTTCAGGAGTCAGGATGGCCGAGCGGTCTAAGGCGCCAGATTTAAGCTCTGGTTCTCGAAAGAGAGCGTGGGTTCGAACCCCACTCCTGACAATTGTTCTTACGTTGCAAGCATGTTATTCTATTTTTGATTCTTAAATTGCGATTTACTAACAGAACGATTCTCTTAGAATTTCATTCGTTAATTTAATTTTTTTAAGAGCAAAGGTATAAGAAAGAGTAGTTGTTGGAAGCAATCACAAAGTATCCTTTCATCTCACTCGTGTTTCTTGGTTCAGGAGTCAGGATGGCCGAGCGGTCTAAGGCGCCAGATTTAAGCTCTGGTTCTCGAAAGAGAGCGTGGGTTCGAACCCCACTCCTGACAATTGTTCTTACGTTGCAAGCATGTTATTCTATTTTTGATTCTTAAATTGCGATTTACTAACAGAACGATTCTCTTAGAATTTCATTCGTTAATTTAATTTTTTAAGAGCAAAGGTATAAGAAAAGAGTAGTTGTTGGAAGCAATCACAAAGTATCCTTTCATCTCACTCGTGTTTTTTTGGTTCAGGAGTCAGGATGGCCGAGCGGTCTAAGGCGCCAGATTTAAGCTCTGGTTCTCGAAAGAGAGCGTGGGTTCGAACCCCACTCCTGACAATTGTTCTTACGTTGCAAGCATGTTATTCTATTTTTGATTCTTAAATTGCGATTTACTAACAGAACGATTCTCTTAGAATTTCATTCGTTAATTTAATTTTTTTAAGAGCAAAGGTATAAGAAAAGAGTAGTTGTTGGAAGCAATCACAAAGTATCCTTTCATCTCACTCGTGTTTCTTGGTTCAGGAGTCAGGATGGCCGAGCGGTCTAAGGCGCCAGATTTAAGCTCTGGTTCTCGAAAGAGAGCGTGGGTTCGAACCCCACTCCTGACAATTGTTCTTACGTTGCAAGCATGTTATTCTATTTTTGATTCTTAAATTGCGATTTACTAACAGAACGATTCTCTTAGAATTTCATTCGTTAATTTAATTTTTTTTAAGAGCAAAGGTATAAGAAAAGAGTAGTTGTTGGAAGCAATCACAAAGTATCCTTTCATCTCACTCGTGTTTCTTGGTTCAGGAGTCAGGATGGCCGAGCGGTCTAAGGCGCCAGATTTAAGCTCTGGTTCTCGAAAGAGAGCGTGGGTTCGAACCCCACTCCTGACAATTGTTCTTACGTTGCAAGCATGTTATTCTATTTTGATTCTTAAATTGCGATTTACTAACAGAACGATTCTCTTAGAATTTCATTCGTTAATTTAATTTTTTAAGAGCAAAGGTATAAGAAAAGAGTAGTTGTTGGAAGCAATCACAAAGTATCCTTTCATCTCACTCGTGTTTCTTGGTTCAGGAGTCAGGATGGCCGAGCGGTCTAAGGCGCCAGATTTAAGCTCTGGTTCTCGAAAGAGAGCGTGGGTTCGAACCCCACTCCTGACAATTGTTCTTACGTTGCAAGCATGTTATTCTATTTTTGATTCTTAAATTGCGATTTACTAACAGAACGATTCTCTTAGAATTTCATTCGTTAATTTAATTTTTTAAGAGCAAAGGTATAAGAAAAGAGTAGTTGTTGGAAGCAATCACAAAGTATCCTTTCATCTCACTCGTGTTTCTTGGTTCAGGAGTCAGGATGGCCGAGCGGTCTAAGGCGCCAGATTTAAGCTCTGGTTCTCGAAAGAGAGCGTGGGTTCGAACCCCACTCCTGACAATTGTTCTTACGTTGCAAGCATGTTATTCTATTTTTGATTCTTAAATTGCGATTTACTAACAGAACGATTCTCTTAGAATTTCATTCGTTAATTTAATTTTTTAAGAGCAAAGGTATAAGAAAAGAGTAGTTGTTGGAAGCAATCACAAAGTATCCTTTCATCTCACTCGTGTTTCTTGGTTCAGGAGTCAGGATGGCCGAGCGGTCTAAGGCGCCAGATTTAAGCTCTGGTTCTCGAAAGAGAGCGTGGGTTCGAACCCCACTCCTGACAATTGTTCTTACGTTGCAAGCATGTTATTCTATTTTTGATTCTTAAATTGCGATTTACTAACAGAACGATTCTCTTAGAATTTCATTCGTTAATTTAATTTTTTTTTAAGAGCAAAGGTATAAGAAAAGAGTAGTTGTTGGAAGCAATCACAAAGTATCCTTTCATCTCACTCGTGTTTCTTGGTTCAGGAGTCAGGATGGCCGAGCGGTCTAAGGCGCCAGATTTAAGCTCTGGTTCTCGAAAGAGAGCGTGGGTTCGAACCCCACTCCTGACAATTGTTCTTACGTTGCAAGCATGTTATTCTATTTTTGATTCTTAAATTGCGATTTACTAACAGAACGATTCTCTTAGAATTTCATTCGTTAATTTAATTTTTTTAAGAGCAAAGGTATAAGAAAAGAGTAGTTGTTGGAAGCAATCACAAAGTATCCTTTCATCTCACTCGTGTTTCTTGGTTCAGGAGTCAGGATGGCCGAGCGGTCTAAGGCGCCAGATTTAAGCTCTGGTTCTCGAAAGAGAGCGTGGGTTCGAACCCCACTCCTGACAATTGTTCTTACGTTGCAAGCATGTTATTCTATTTTTGATTCTTAAATTGCGATTTACTAACAGAACGATTCTCTTAGAATTTCATTCGTTAATTTAATTTTTTAAGAGCAAAGGTATAAGAAAAGAGTAGTTGTTGGAAGCAATCACAAAGTATCCTTTCATCTCACTCGTGTTTCTTGGTTCAGGAGTCAGGATGGCCGAGCGGTCTAAGGCGCCAGATTTAAGCTCTGGTTCTCGAAAGAGAGCGTGGGTTCGAACCCCACTCCTGACAATTGTTCTTACGTTGCAAGCATGTTATTCTATTTTTGATTCTTAAATTGCGATTTACTAACAGAACGATTCTCTTAGAATTTCATTCGTTAATTTAATTTTTTTTTTTTAGAGCAAAGGTATAAGAAAAGAGTAGTTGTTGGAAGCAATCACAAAGTATCCTTTCATCTCACTCGTGTTTCTTGGTTCAGGAGTCAGGATGGCCGAGCGGTCTAAGGCGCCAGATTTAAGCTCTGGTTCTCGAAAGAGAGCGTGGGTTCGAACCCCACTCCTGACAATTGTTCTTACGTTGCAAGCATGTTATTCTATTTTTGATTCTTAAATTGCGATTTACTAACAGAACGATTCTCTTAGAATTTCATTCGTTAATTTAATTTTTTTAAGAGCAAAGGTATAAGAAAAGAGTAGTTGTTGGAAGCAATCACAAAGTATCCTTTCATCTCACTCGTGTTTCTTGGTTCAGGAGTCAGGATGGCCGAGCGGTCTAAGGCGCCAGATTTAAGCTCTGGTTCTCGAAAGAGAGCGTGGGTTCGAACCCCACTCCTGACAATTGTTCTTACGTTGCAAGCATGTTATTCTATTTTTGATTCTTAAATTGCGATTTACTAACAGAACGATTCTCTTAGAATTTCATTCGTTAATTTAATTTTTTTAAGAGCAAAGGTATAAGAAAAGAGTAGTTGTTGGAAGCAATCACAAAGTATCCTTTCATCTCACTCGTGTTTCTTGGTTCAGGAGTCAGGATGGCCGAGCGGTCTAAGGCGCCAGATTTAAGCTCTGGTTCTCGAAAGAGAGCGTGGGTTCGAACCCCACTCCTGACAATTGTTCTTACGTTGCAAGCATGTTATTCTATTTTTGATTCTTAAATTGCGATTTACTAACAGAACGATTCTCTTAGAATTTCATTCGTTAATTTAATTTTTTAAGAGCAAAGGTATAAGAAAAGAGTAGTTGTTGGAAGCAATCACAAAGTATCCTTTCATCTCACTCGTGTTTTTGGTTCAGGAGTCAGGATGGCCGAGCGGTCTAAGGCGCCAGATTTAAGCTCTGGTTCTCGAAAGAGAGCGTGGGTTCGAACCCCACTCCTGACAATTGTTCTTACGTTGCAAGCATGTTATTCTATTTTTGATTCTTAAATTGCGATTTACTAACAGAACGATTCTCTTAGAATTTCATTCGTTAATTTAATTTTTTTAAGAGCAAAGGTATAAGAAAAGAGTAGTTGTTGGAAGCAATCACAAAGTATCCTTTCATCTCACTCGTGTTTCTTGGTTCAGGAGTCAGGATGGCCGAGCGGTCTAAGGCGCCAGATTTAAGCTCTGGTTCTCGAAAGAGAGCGTGGGTTCGAACCCCACTCCTGACAATTGTTCTTACGTTGCAAGCATGTTATTCTATTTTTGATTCTTAAATTGCGATTTACTAACAGAACGATTCTCTTAGAATTTCATTCGTTAATTTAATTTTTTAAGAGCAAAGGTATAAGAAAAGAGTAGTTGTTGGAAGCAATCACAAAGTATCCTTTCATCTCACTCGTGTTTCTTGGTTCAGGAGTCAGGATGGCCGAGCGGTCTAAGGCGCCAGATTTAAGCTCTGGTTCTCGAAAGAGAGCGTGGGTTCGAACCCCACTCCTGACAATTGTTCTTACGTTGCAAGCATGTTATTCTATTTTTGATTCTTAAATTGCGATTTACTAACAGAACGATTCTCTTAGAATTTCATTCGTTAATTTAATTTTTTAAGAGCAAAGGTATAAGAAAAGAGTAGTTGTTGGAAGCAATCACAAAGTATCCTTTCATCTCACTCGTGTTTCTTGGTTCAGGAGTCAGGATGGCCGAGCGGTCTAAGGCGCCAGATTTAAGCTCTGGTTCTCGAAAGAGAGCGTGGGTTCGAACCCCACTCCTGACAATTGTTCTTACGTTGCAAGCATGTTATTCTATTTTTGATTCTTAAATTGCGATTTACTAACAGAACGATTCTCTTAGAATTTCATTCGTTAATTTAATTTTTTAAGAGCAAAGGTATAAGAAAAGAGTAGTTGTTGGAAGCAATCACAAAGTATCCTTTCATCTCACTCGTGTTTCTTGGTTCAGGAGTCAGGATGGCCGAGCGGTCTAAGGCGCCAGATTTAAGCTCTGGTTCTCGAAAGAGAGCGTGGGTTCGAACCCCACTCCTGACAATTGTTCTTACGTTGCAAGCATGTTATTCTATTTTTGATTCTTAAATTGCGATTTACTAACAGAACGATTCTCTTAGAATTTCATTCGTTAATTTAATTTTTTTAAGAGCAAAGGTATAAGAAAAGAGTAGTTGTTGGAAGCAATCACAAAGTATCCTTTCATCTCACTCGTGTTTCTTGGTTCAGGAGTCAGGATGGCCGAGCGGTCTAAGGCGCCAGATTTAAGCTGGTTCTCGAAAGAGAGCGTGGGTTCGAACCCCACTCCTGACAATTGTTCTTACGTTGCAAGCATGTTATTCTATTTTTGATTCTTAAATTGCGATTTACTAACAGAACGATTCTCTTAGAATTTCATTCGTTAATTTAATTTTTTTTAAGAGCAAAGGTATAAGAAAAGAGTAGTTGTTGGAAGCAATCACAAAGTATCCTTTCATCTCACTCGTGTTTCTTGGTTCAGGAGTCAGGATGGCCGAGCGGTCTAAGGCGCCAGATTTAAGCTCTGGTTCTCGAAAGAGAGCGTGGGTTCGAACCCCACTCCTGACAATTGTTCTTACGTTGCAAGCATGTTATTCTATTTTTGATTCTTAAATTGCGATTTACTAACAGAACGATTCTCTTAGAATTTCATTCGTTAATTTAATTTTTTTAAGAGCAAAGGTATAAGAAAAGAGTAGTTGTTGGAAGCAATCACAAAGTATCCTTTCATCTCACTCGTGTTTCTTGGTTCAGGAGTCAGGATGGCCGAGCGGTCTAAGGCGCCAGATTTAAGCTCTGGTTCTCGAAAGAGAGCGTGGGTTCGAACCCCACTCCTGACAATTGTTCTTACGTTGCAAGCATATTATTGTATTTTTGATTCTTAAATTGCGATTCACTAACAGAATTATTCTCTTCAAATTTCATTCATTATTTCAATTTTTTTAAAAGCAAAGGCATAAGAAAAGAGTATTTGATGGAAGCAATCATAAAGTATCCTTTTATCTCATACGTGTTTCTTGGTTCAGGAGTCAGGATGGCCGAGCGGTATAAGGCGCCAGATTTAAGCTCTGGTTCTCGAAAGAGAGCGTGGGTTCGAACCCCACTCCTGACAATTGTTCTTACGTTGCAAGCATGTTATTGTATTTTTTATTCTTAAATTGCGATTTACTAACAGAACGATTCTCTTAGAATTTCATTCGTTAATTTAATTTTTTAAGAGCAAAGGTATAAGAAAAGAGTAGTTGTTGGAAGCAATCACAAAGTATCCTTTCATCTCACTCGTGTTTCTTGGTTCAGGAGTCAGGATGGCCGAGCGGTCTAAGGCGCCAGATTTAAGCTCTGGTTCTCGAAAGAGAGCGTGGGTTCGAACCCCACTCCTGACAATTGTTCTTACGTTGCAAGCATGTTATTCTATTTTTGATTCTTAAATTGCGATTTACTAACAGAACGATTCTCTTAGAATTTCATTCGTTAATTTAATTTTTTTAAGAGCAAAGGTATAAGAAAAGAGTAGTTGTTGGAAGCAATCACAAAGTATCCTTTCATCTCACTCGTGTTTCTTGGTTCAGGAGTCAGGATGGCCGAGCGGTCTAAGGCGCCAGATTTAAGCTCTGGTTCTCGAAAGAGAGCGTGGGTTCGAACCCCACTCCTGACAATTGTTCTTACGTTGCAAGCATGTTATTCTATTTTTGATTCTTAAATTGCGATTTACTAACAGAACGATTCTCTTAGAATTTCATTCGTTAATTTAATTTTTTTAAGAGCAAAGGTATAAGAAAAGAGTAGTTGTTGGAAGCAATCACAAAGTATCCTTTCATCTCACTCGTGTTTCTTGGTTCAGGAGTCAGGATGGCCGAGCGGTCTAAGGCGCCAGATTTAAGCTCTGGTTCTCGAAAGAGAGCGTGGGTTCGAACCCCACTCCTGACAATTGTTCTTACGTTGCAAGCATGTTATTCTATTTTTGATTCTTAAATTGCGATTTACTAACAGAACGATTCTCTTAGAATTTCATTCGTTAATTTAATTTTTTAAGAGCAAAAGTATAAGAAAAGAGTAGTTGTTGGAAGCAATCACAAAGTATCCTTTCATCTCACTCGTGTTTCTTGGTTCAGGAGTCAGGATGGCCGAGCGGTCTAAGGCGCCAGATTTAAGCTCTGGTTCTCGAAAGAGAGCGTGGGTTCGAACCCCACTCCTGACAATTGTTCTTACGTTGCAAGCATGTTATTCTATTTTTGATTCTTAAATTGCGATTTACTAACAGAACGATTCTCTTAGAATTTCATTCGTAAGTTTAATTCTTTTAAGAGCAAAGGTATAAGAAAAGAGTAGTTGTTGGAAGCAATCACAAAGTATCCTTTCATCTCACTCGTGTTTTTTGGTTCAGGAGTCAGGATGGCCGAGCGGTCTAAGGCGCCAGATTTAAGCTCTGGTTCTCGAAAGAGAGCGTGGGTTCGAACCCCACTCCTGACAATTGTTCTTACGTTGCAAGCATGTTATTCTATTTTTGATTCTTAAATTGCGATTTACTAACAGAACGATTCTCTTAGAATTTCATTCGTTAATTTAATTTTTTAAGAGCAAAGGTATAAGAAAAGAGTAGTTGTTGGAAGCAATCACAAAGTATCCTTTCATCTCACTCGTGTTTCTTGGTTCAGGAGTCAGGATGGCCGAGCGGTCTAAGGCGCCAGATTTAAGCTCTGGTTCTCGAAAGAGAGCGTGGGTTCGAACCCCACTCCTGACAATTATTGCAAGCATGTTATTGTATTTTTGATTCTTAAATTGCGATTCACTAACAGAATTATTCTCTTCAAATTTCATTCATTATTTCAATTTTTTTAAAAGCAAAGGCATAAGAAAAGAGTATTTGATGGAAGCAATCATAAAGTATCCTTTTATCTCATACGTGTTTCTTGGTTCAGGAGTCAGGATGGCCGAGCGGTATAAGGCGCCAGATTTAAGCTCTGGTTCTCTCGAAAGAGAGCGTGGGTTCGAACCCCACTCCTGACAATTGTTCTTACGTTGCAAGCACGTTATTCTATTTTTGATTCTTAAATTGCGATTTACTAACAGAACGATTCTCTTAGAATTTCATTCGTTAATTTAATTTTTTAAGAGCAAAGGTATAAGAAAAGAGTAGTTGTTGGAAGCAATCACAAAGTATCCTTTCATCTCACTCGTGTTTCTTGGTTCAGGAGTCAGGATGGCCGAGCGGTCTAAGGCGCCAGATTTAAGCTCTGGTTCTCGAAAGAGAGCGTGGGTTCGAACCCCACTCCTGACAATTGTTCTTACGTTGCAAGCATGTTATTCTATTTTTGATTCTTAAATTGCGATTTACTAACAGAACGATTCTCTTAGAATTTCATTCGTTAATTTAATTTTTTTTTTAAGAGCAAAGGTATAAGAAAAGAGTAGTTGTTGGAAGCAATCACAAAGTATCCTTTCATCTCACTCGTGTTTCTTGGTTAGGAGTCAGGATGGCCGAGCGGTCTAAGGCGCCAGATTTAAGCTCTGGTTCTCGAAAGAGAGCGTGGGTTCGAACCCCACTCCTGACAATTGTTCTTACGTTGCAAGCATGTTATTCTATTTTTGATTCTTAAATTGCGATTTACTAACAGAACGATTCTCTTAGAATTTCATTCGTTAATTTAATTTTTTTTTAAGAGCAAAGGTATAAGAAAAGAGTAGTTGTTGGAAGCAATCACAAAGTATCCTTTCATCTCACTCGTGTTTCTTGGTTCAGGAGTCAGGATGGCCGAGCGGTCTAAGGCGCCAGATTTAAGCTCTGGTTCTCGAAAGAGAGCGTGGGTTCGAACCCCACTCCTGACAATTGTTCTTACGTTGCAAGCATGTTATTCTATTTTTGATTCTTAAATTGCGATTTACTAACAGAACGATTCTCTTAGAATTTCATTCGTTAATTTAATTTTTTAAGAGCAAAGGTATAAGAAAAGAGTAGTTGTTGGAAGCAATCACAAAGTATCCTTTCATCTCACTCGTGTTTCTTGGTTCAGGAGTCAGGATGGCCGAGCGGTCTAAGGCGCCAGATTTAAGCTCTGGTTCTCGAAAGAGAGCGTGGGTTCGAACCCCACTCCTGACAATTGTTCTTACGTTGCAAGCATGTTATTCTATTTTTGATTCTTAAATTGCGATTTACTAACAGAACGATTCTCTTAGAATTTCATTCGTTAATTTAATTTTTTTTTAAGAGCAAAGGTATAAGAAAAGAGTAGTTGTTGGAAGCAATCACAAAGTATCCTTTCATCTCACTCGTGTTTCTTGGTTCAGGAGTCAGGATGGCCGAGCGGTCTAAGGCGCCAGATTTAAGCTCTGGTTCTCGAAAGAGAGCGTGGGTTCGAACCCCACTCCTGACAATTGTTCTTACGTTGCAAGCATGTTATTCTATTTTTGATTCTTAAATTGCGATTTACTAACAGAACGATTCTCTTAGAATTTCATTCATTCGTTAATTTAATTTTTTTAAGAGCAAAGGTATAAGAAAAGAGTAGTTGTTGGAAGCAATCACAAAGTATCCTTTCATCTCACTCGTGTTTCTTTGGTTCAGGAGTCAGGATGGCCGAGCGGTCTAAGGCGCCAGATTTAAGCTCTGGTTCTCGAAAGAGAGCGTGGGTTCGAACCCCACTCCTGACAATTGTTCTTACGTTGCAAGCATGTTATTCTATTTTTGATTCTTAAATTGCGATTTACTAACAGAACGATTCTCTTAGAATTTCATTCGTTAATTTAATTTTTTAAGAGCAAAAGGTATAAGAAAAGAGTAGTTGTTGGAAGCAATCACAAAGTATCCTTTCATCTCACTCGTGTTTCTTGGTTCAGGAGTCAGGATGGCCGAGCGGTCTAAGGCGCCAGATTTAAGCTCTGGTTCTCGAAAGAGAGCGTGGGTTCGAACCCCACTCCTGACAATTGTTCTTACGTTGCAAGCATGTTATTCTATTTTTGATTCTTAAATTGCGATTTACTAACAGAACGATTCTCTTAGAATTTCATTCGTTAATTTAATTTTTTAAGAGCAAAGGTATAAGAAAAGAGTAGTTGTTGGAAGCAATCACAAAGTATCCTTTCATCTCACTCGTGTTTCTTGGTTCAGGAGTCAGGATGGCCGAGCGGTCTAAGGCGCCAGATTTAAGCTCTGGTTCTCGAAAGAGAGCGTGGGTTCGAACCCCACTCCTGACAATTGTTCTTACGTTGCAAGCATGTTATTCTATTTTTGATTCTTAAATTGCGATTTACTAACAGAACGATTCTCTTAGAATTTCATTCGTTAATTTAATTTTTTT